GATTCTTGAAATAAGAAAAAAAAAAGAGTCAAATCAAGTATTTCAAGAGTTTTACCACGTAAAATTTTCTTACTCTATTGGCAGAAAGTTTTGACTTAATTTGAGTAAAATTTCCAGACTAACAAGACAAATAAAACAAGATTATTATTCTTACACAATCAGTTCTTGTTTAGTAAATCAGTCTCAAAACAAGATCAAAAATACTTTTTGGCTGGATATAAGATTTTAAAACTTGGTTGGGTGGACATTTTTTGCAGTGTATAAAGTCGTTTGCACCAACCTCAGCAAATATGTGAAAATTTACATTAAGGGACAATGTTACAAAAAAAAATCCACTATTCAGATCACAACATTGTGACTTCTCGGTCCAAGAAAAACGCATGAAGTTGTAATTTTACATGCATGTTATGTTTGCACGCTGCAGGTGGTGCAGTTCTGGTCAGACGTGCTGAGCGGGCCGCTGAACGGAGCGCTGCAGAACAACCAGGACCCCGCTCTGCAGGCGAGCGCCTGTGACACGCTCGCWGCTGTGCTGCCGCAGGCCTTCATGCAGCTCCCTGTGAGTTCCTTCCTTTTTTGATTAACTCACGTTTGCACCTAACTAATCTTTACGTTTTAGTTAAAGGGGACACGTGCAAAATCCACCTGTTTAGCCATTAAATGCATTTTGTTGTGTGCTTGGAGTTATTTTTAGACTTTCTTGTGTTTCTTTGTTTAGTTCATCTGGCTGAACTGTGAAGCACTGCAGTCTACTTGCTGTTTTTATGTGCTTTGTAAACAAGTTGACATTTATTACCTCCTGTTTGAACCTAGCAAACACTGTGCTTCACAGAGTGTAACACTATTTTTATTTTATTTTAAAGGACAAAACTCAGCTGATGTGCATCACCGTGCTGCTGGGCCTGACCTACGTTGAGAACCACCTGGTGAAGACATCAGCTGTTCGCGCATTGGGGGTCTACATCCTATTCCCTAGTTTGAGAGAGGTAGAGATGTTAACCTTTAATAATGAACATGCAATTAATGAAAAAAAAACATGTGAATGAATAAAATCTAAATTCTCCTCTCAGGATGTGATGTTTGTGGCAGACACTGCGAACATTATCCTCGCTGCCCTCGATGATCGGTCGACGAATGTTCGGGCCAAAGCTGTGTGGTCCCTCGCAAACCTCACCGACACACTCATCATTAACATGTGAGCTACAAACTGCTAACTGGATGGGTTAAATCAAATTAATATGTTGGAAAAATATATATTTGTTTATATTTAACACCGGCTTTTCTTACGTCCAGAGCAGAGTTTTTAAAATTAACTAAAACTAACTAAATAACGAAAACTGAAATAAAAAAAAAACATTTTAGTTAATCAAAATAAATAAAAACTGTAATAAAATGAAAAAACTGTAACTAACTAAAACTATCTTTTTACAAAACTAACTGAAATTATAGATAGAATATCCTTAGTGTTTGTCAATTTATTTTGAGCCATGCAGATCTTTATTTATTTTTTTTTTTGAGTAGTTTCACATTAGCTGTGGGCTGCAACAACACTTGTTTACAATCTGCTGCCATATGACGACAGCAAAAGTTGGGAGAAAGCAGCAACGTCCACTTTGGGATTTTTTTTGAATACGACTGTGAGAAAAATAAAGGCAAGTATCTTGTAGTGGAAACAGGTGATAAAACAGGTGAAATGCTTCTCAAGGGAAAAACTGCATGAATCAAGCTCACACAAGATGCCTAACTATGACCACCTTGACGCTAGCTTCTCAGTAGCTCCTGTGAAAAACAAACGACAAGTAGCACCAGGTTGGAGACAACTATTATCATCGTCCTAAATTAACAATCACCCAAGATTTTATTAGCAAAATTGAGTTATGCAATTATTTTAGCAAGGTGGTGTTATAATAGACTGCTTTAACTAGCGATCAAATAGCTGTTAATTAGTTAACTCACAGGAACATCACAAGCTGGAGGATGCATTGGCAGATATGTTTATTCAAACTATTAAAAAACTAATACTAGAAACTAAACTAAAACTAAGCATTAAAAATGTCAAAATAACTAATAAAAATGATAAAATCCACTGTAAAAACTAATTAAAACTGGTTTAAAAGAAAAAAAGTCACAACGAATTAAAACTAAACTATAATAYAAAATACAAAACTATTATAACCTTGGTCCAGAGTTGAGCAAGAACTGAAATTCACTTCAGTTTATCTATGTAGCACCAAGTCATAACAAATGTCCTCTAAAAAATAAAAAAAGCCAGCAGATTGTGTTGAACCTTCACTTCATCAGTCAATGTCAAGTTTATTTGTATAGCACATTAAAACATTAAAAGCTGACCAAAGTGCTTCACAGTTCAGTCAAGACATATCAAAAAACAAACAAATAATAGGTACAAATACAGAAGCACAATAAATATATGAAAAAGCTCTAACTGAACCTCCAACTCAGTTTTAATCATYAGCCAAAGAAAATAAATGGGTCTTCAGCAGAGATTTAAAAGCCTCAACAGTCTCTGCTGACRGAATATTAAGAGATAAACTGTTCCACAGCTTTGGAGCAGCTATTGCTAAAGCCCGGTCACCTCTAGATTTCAGTTTGGACCTAGGAACTTCTAACAGGAACTGGTTGGTGGACCAGAGTGCTCTGACTGGAGTGTAGATGTTAAGATCACATAAATATGATGGGGCCAGACCATTAAAAACTTTAAAAGACATCAATAAAATCTTAAAATCAATTCGCAGGTGAACAGGAAGCCAATGGAGAGAAGCCAGGACCGGGGTTATGTGTTCATGCTTTTTAGTACCTGTTAAAAGACGAGCTGCTGCGTTCTGGACAGTCTGTAGGCGATGCAGAGATGATTTATCTAAGCCAGCATACAAAGAATTACAATAATCCAAGTGAGCCAGTCTCAGTCTCCCATCCTGAGCTGCACATTGGTGACAGTGGAAAGAAAAAACTCCCTTTTAACAAGAAGAAACCTCCAGCAGAACCAGGCTCAGGACAGGCCATCTGTCAAATATTTCTACATTTTTGCATAAATTAGGATTAAGCTATGTAGTAGCTTTGACAAAGTGTTTGTGATGTGTTTCTCTGTTCCTCTTCATCAGGCAGAATGTTGGTGTGGATTTCCAAGAAGAGCTGTCCGACATGCTTCTGCTGAAGATGTTGCAGGCGGCCACCCGAGCGTCCACAGACAAAGATAAGGTGAGATTAATCACACGACACAAGCACGAGCTCCTGGTGATGATTTGTGAACCTGTTGGCCTCACTTCCGTCCCTCCAGGTGAAGTCGAACGCGGTGCGAGTGCTCGGGAATCTGCTTCACTTCCTGCGTGACAGTCAGATGACCCGCTCTGTGTTCCAGCGCCCTTTGGAGGACGCAGTCCGTGCTCTGGTTAGAACAGTCCTGTCTGAAGCCACCATGAAGGTCAGGTGGAACGCTTGTTGCGCTTTGGGGAATGCTTTCAGAAACCCCGCCCTGCCTCTCGGTAAGTTTGCCTTCGCAGGGCTTTTATCTRGTTTCTGATTCTAGTTTCTCAGTCTGTTGGTCTGCTCTGAAGGTTGCTTTAGAACAGAGATTCTCTGGGTCGTGAGCGCCATCTTGAGGGCTTCAAAAGAACAACAGTTTTTAACTTAGGGACGCAGAGGGCATTGATTGTAAATAAGATGCAATACACTTTCTCACCACTAGTAGCAGTAGTGCGCCACTCAGATGTTTAACAACTTTTTTTAATATGTAGAAGAAGAAACTTAGAAACCTGCAGAGAATGGAAACCTATTTTAAATGAAAAGTAGAAGCAAAAATGAAGGCAACCCTTTAAAAAAGGCCAAAGTTTGTCACTAATGAAGTGCACCTTCTGGTTCTACCATGCAATATTTTAAAAGTTCAAAACATTATCAAATACAGTTGCAGATACAGCTATATTTTAACTTGCACTTTATCAAATTAATTTTTGTAGTTTATTTTTAAACATTTTGTCAAAAAGCTGTTGTTACTATTATTATTTGTCACTAATATGAAAAGCAGCTTCTGGTTCTACCATGCAAAAGTTTAAAAAGGCTTTATTTTCATTTTCACTTTATCTAATTTGTTTTTACAGTTTTTTTATTTGAAACATTTACATTAAATATTTTTGAATGTATTATTTTATGGTTACAATTTTATTTTTTGAATTGTCTTATTTTTGTTATTGTTTATAATGGGGCGGCTGTGGCGGAGTGGTTAGGGGAGTCGTCCTGGAACCAGAAGGTCACTGGTTCGATCCCCCGTCCAGCCGTCTCAGTCGTTGTGTCCTTGGGCAAGACACTTCACCCACCTTGCCTACTGATGGTGGTCAGAGGGTCCGGTGGCGCCGATGCATGGCAGCCCCACCTCTGTCAGTGTGCCCCAGGGCAGCTGTGGCTACAATGTAGTTTGCCGTCATCAGTGTGTGAATGTGAGTGTGAATGGGTGAATGTCTGTTAGTGTAAAGCGCTTTGGGGGTCCGGAGGGACTTGAAAAGCGCTCTATAAGTTCAGTACCATTTACCATTTATATTAAAAATATATATTTTTGTGCTGATAAGCCTGAGTGGTCTGTTGACTGACCTTTGTATTTGTTCAAATAATTGTTATGGGCAGGTTACAATATAAAAATGTTTGTCATAATCATGTCTTGTGAATATTTGACAGGAGTTTTACTTTTAAACTGTAAATGTATTTTATTTAGTTATAATGCAAATACAATACAAATTAAAGCAATATTTAGAATAATTATATTTTTAAACCATGATTTAGAATAATTGTAATTTTGATCCATATGGTAATGTGTGACTGGGCCTTGTGCCTCTTTATGTTGAACAAACTGGGCCCTGAGGTCAAAAAGTTTAAGAACCCCTGCTTTAGAATTTGTTTCTTGCTGACAGAAGCTGCTCCGTGGTCCCATGACGCATTCTCCGCCCTCTGCCACGTCGTCACCTCCTGCCAGAACTTCAAGGTCCGGATCAAATCCGCCGCCGCCCTCGCCGTCCCGGCCCGCCGCAGCTGCTACGGCGACGTGGAGCGGTTCGCCCGCGTGTGGTGTTCGCTGGCGACGGCGCTGAAGAACAGCGAGGACACAAACGACTTCCTGGAGTATCGCTACAGCGCCAGCCTGAGACACACGCTGGCGCGGGCCCTGCTGCACCTGCTCGGCATCAGCGAGGCGCAGGACGTGCCCGTGCTCGGGGCGTCGCTGGCTGGGGAGGAGGGGCGGGGCATCAGGGAGCACCTGGTTAAATATCTGACAGGGGACGGTGGAGGAGGAGGAGAGAAAGACGATGAAGCTGGAGGAGAGAGAAACTCTGAGGCGGACGGTGTGAACCCCCAGCAGAGGATCTGTGATCTGCAGCAGACTCTGATCAGACTTAAAGAGCTAGAGGCTGAAGGAGTGGAGGAAGGAAAGCAGGTGGTGGTTCATTTCATCGAGGATCTTTTAAAGATCTGTGAAGAGTTTTAGCTTTTTATTTTCACGCACTTAAAATCAGAAAAAGTGACTGAAGATGAGCCGATCAGTTATTTTCTGTGTGGAACACAKTGGGCCTCATGCAAGAACCGTTCYTARGCACAGATTTGTTCTTAAATTGTGCTTACGAGTGATTTAGGAGAACAATTCCCCTGAAAGATTTTATTCAGATACGAACAAAATTCACGAGTGGTCCAGACCTGTTGTATATTTTACGAGCAGTCAGTCTGCTGTTATCAGATGGATTTTCTTCACTAATAACTTTATATTTCATTTGTTTCAAGATTAATGCAATTAACACTACAATATTAATATGAAGATTTCAAACTAGAATCTTAAACTGCGTTAATTGAAGTTTAATTTGTCTCAGTATATAATGAGGTCAACGGGAAGTGAACACAACTTTATTCTGACAGATTATTTTTTAAACTAAATTTTGTTTTGTTGAGATTTATTCAGAACAGCAGCTATGCGATTTTCTCCAAAGTGCCAGACATATCTTGGAGACATTTTAAAATGCTTTCTTGATTCTTCCGAACCGCATCTGACACCACCATCGGTCCGGGCTGTGGCTCTTCTTCTGAATAAAAATAAATATTTAACACAGTTGTTTACACTTAAATTAAAAATATTTGACTAAAGGAAATGCGGAGCAGGACTAGAGAGATATAAATATGATTTAGATTTTTATTTCTGTGACTGTACGACCCAAAGGAGACACGGCATAAACAGCAGTCGTCATTTCATTCCTTGGTTTTAGCAGCTCCTTTAATTCCACAGCTGACGCTGCTAAAAAGGACAGATTTTCTTTTTAATCTCCAAACTCGTAAAGTTATTCTTTTCACTTTGCTCTGCCATTTTCATAAATGGACACTTCCTGGTATGTGGGGCAGTAAACACAGCCTTATATGGTGTTTTTAGGCTGGTAGATTATGCTAATCTCCTCTCGTGCATGAAAATCTGATACACATTCATCAGTTTACGCTCCTCATTTGCACACTTTTCCTGAAGATAGAAGAGTTTGTTGAATCTGACGTGGCTTGTTTGTATGAGACCTTAAGAAAAAAAAAGAGAAATTTAGGATAAAAATAMGAAAATGTTCTTGCATGAGGCCCAATGTTATGTTGATTATTGCAATCATGAAGCAGATAGATATGAACATTGTCTATTAACCACAGCAGAGATGGCTGACTGAACATTAATCATGTTTTATTTCAGAGGTTCTACAGTCCCAACATGTTTATTCCTGTGTGGATCAGGTTTTTTCTAACTTTTCCAAATGTGGAAAAATATAAAAGTGTCACTCAGCTGACCATGAAGGGCTTTCTGATTCATAAAACTTCCTGTAAAACAAAACTGGAAGAAAACTAACAGACTCATATTTATTGTAATTTTGTATAATGTTGAATGACTTCAGTGTAAAGAGTTTTTGAGTATGGGCTTGATAAAGCTCTATGTGTTCAGGCTATTTATTCATGGTTACAAAGCAAATGGGTGAGTGGTTTAGATACAGTCTTGTGGAAAATTTAGAGCCAAGTAGCTGTGATTTTTATGTCTTGCAATCCCATTAAAGGGGACAGATCAAACCATCAACTTAACTTTATATCTCTTCATTCTATTGAGCTTTTTACAGTTATTAATGCACATGCATAAAATCAAGCATCACATGATTAAATAATTACTTATAGTCAGCAGCGTTCATACTATTCTTTTGGTCCTTTGTACCTGCTTTTTTGTTGACTTTTGGATATAGGCATTTTTATAAATTAGTTTTACTGGAATTTAATGTTGTGATAACATTTCCTCAATGTGCAATGTTGCTAGGAGTTGGAACGACTTTAGATCACAGCTTAAACATTTAAAGATGAACAATGTTTAAGTACCGTATGTTCCAACAAACTGGAAGTAGGCAACATATGTAGARCACAAAAACTGTAAAAAGGTCAAAGGAATCAATCAAAAGCAAGTTCTCGCTCCTGAGTGTCTAGTGCCTTAATCATCAATGCACAGCTGTAACAGAAATCAAACTGTAAAACGCCTGCACACGGTTGTGTGTCATTTTTATTGTAAAGCCAAATAAACTACACATTCATGTTTAAGCTTTGCAACATGTTATAAATTGGTTCCACATACATTTTTTAATTGAAAGTGCAACTACACTCTTTTAACATTTAAATAAAACATAAAGTGAGTATTATTATTTTTGTTTGAGTGCAAGTGTAACATGAGCTGTCACTTTTACAACTGGGATCAGTGCTGCTAATTTTTTCATACATTTCAAAAAAAAAATTGTGTATTTGAAATTACTTATATTTCATGTGATTGTATAAAAGACCATTTTTGGTTTGTATTTAAAACTGCGAGGATGATTAAGGCTTTAGGAAGTTGAATAATTCAAGAATACCTGCAATGCCGTGTCTGAGCTCCAGGGGGCAGCAGAGTTTAGCAGTGAATGACCCGGATGTTGATTAGCGCTGTGTGGGAACACCACGCTGCCTGTGTGCTTCTGCCACACACCAATGGATGCTTTCGAGCTGTTTCGAAAGCTCGGAACTGGGGCTAAATTCGACTTGAAGAGATTTGGTCAAGACGCCGCTCGGTTTAAGGTGAGTTTAATATAAGTAGGTAATAAATACTAAGCTGCAGCAGACAGCAGCGCGCACCACTGCTAATGTTAGCTAGCTGCTATTTTCAATTTAGTGGAGGACTGCAACAAGTTTTACAAGTTGCCCTATGGGTTAAATACAAGTCTCCATTTTAACCTATGTGATAAATTTGTAGTTTTCCAGAACTCCAGGAGGAAAGGCTGCATCAGACTTTGTCTCTGAGATTGATTACTTTGGCTCAGGGACAACATATGGAGCCCAGAGAAAGGATGAGGAGGGAAGTGGCACTGGAGGATCGACAGAAAAGGGCAAAAGGAAGCGCAAAGAAGAGGAGGGAGACGTGAGGTGCAAGAAGAAAACGACCAAAAGCAACCAGGTGGAGGTGGAAGGTAAAAAGGCAAAGATTTTCAAGTCTTCAGCTGTAACACTTTCAATGAATCATATTTTAAAGTTTAACCCATAATAGTTTTAAAAACCAAATATGTCAAAGCAGACATATAGTTGCCTCTTACAGCTATGCTTTTAAAATGTGCATTTTCTTTTAAAATGGCTTCTGAACAATTTGAACAAATAGAGGCAGCTTTGGTATTACCGGTAAGCTAAGAATCAACATGTTATAGCTGTCTATGTTAGAGTCTTGCCTTTCTTCTGTTTGTCTCAAGGTAATGGTCGGCAGCTGAATGAGACTCAGGGCATCACTTGGACCTCCTCACTGGACAAAAAAATCCACAACGTGCAAACAGACGGGAAGGAGAAATCCTCGCTGAAGAGGCTGAAGCAAATTCACCAGGAGAAGGTTTTTATAAAACCAATCATGTTCTATTGAAATCAAATATTCTGGAAAACTACTTTGCTGAGCTGTAGCATTATATTTCAGTCTTTTTTTCCTCCCCCTTGGTTTTATTTTCAAGGTGAATCGTATTCGTGCTAAACACCGTATAAATGTGCACGGCAGCGACMTGCCCGACCCTGTGTGCACATTTGAGGAGCTGCAGTCGGAGTATCATCTCAACGCGCGCATCCTTCAGAACCTCAGAGACGCAGGGCTGAACTCTCCGACGCCGATACAGATGCAGGCGATACCGCTCATGATGCACGTGAGTACACGCTGACACGCTTCACGGTTGTTGAACGAAGGGGAGTCTGATCGCATCGTTCGTCGCTCAGGGTCGGGAGCTCTTGGCCTGCGCTCCCACGGGATCAGGAAAAACYTTGGCTTTCTCCATCCCGCTGCTCGCCCACCTGCAGCAGCCAGCAAACCTCGGCTTCAGAGCGCTGATCATCTCTCCAACCAGAGAACTGGCCAGCCAGGTACACAGACACGTTAGAGTTTTCAGATCCGTTAGAACAGGGGTTCTTAACCTTTTTGACCTCGAGGCCCAACTTGTTGAACACAAAGAGGCACGAGGCCCCGTCAGACATTACAAATGTATGAAACGAAATGATAATTATTCAAAATCTTGGTTTAATTTGTATTGTATTTGCATTATAGCTAAATTAAATACACTTACAGTTTAAAAGTAAAAACTCATGTCAAATAATCACAAGACATGTTTATGACAACCTGCCCATAACAATTATTTGAACAGACCACCCAGACTTATCAGCACAAAAATAACTTTTTTAACGAACATTGACAAAAATAGACAATTCAAGAAATAAACTTGTGGTTATACAATAAATACATTCAAAATGTTTAACATAAATGTTTCAAATAAAAAAAACTGTAAAACTAAATTTGATAGAGTACAAATGAAAATATAGCCTTTTTAAACTTTTGGTAGAACCAGAAGCTGCTCTTCATATTAGTGACAAACAATAACAGTAACAACAGCTTTTTGACAAGTTTAAAGTTTCTTTAAAATACATTCAAAATGTTTAATAATAAACTACAAAAATTTAATGCAAGTTAAAATATAGCTGTATCTGCAAATGTAACTGATAGTGTTTTGAACTTTTGAAATATTGCATGGTAAAACCAGAGGCTGCACTTCATATTAGTGACAAACTTAGGCCTTTTTGGACGAGTTACTTTCARTTTTGCTTTTACTTTCCATTTTTTAAAATAGGTTTCCATTCTCGGCAGTTTTCTAAGGTTCTTCTACATATTAAAAAAGTTGTTAAACATCTGAGTGGCGCACTACTGCTACTAGTGGTGAGAAAGTGTATTGCACCTTATTTACAATCAATGCGGTCCGCGGCCATCTGCGGCCCAAAGTTAAAAATTGTTGTTCTTCTGAGGCCCTCAYTAGGAACGCGGCCCATGGGTTAAGAATCTCTGCYTTAGAAAATAAGTAAAGCTTTAGTAGTTTGTCAGTTTTTATGATTCTAAACAATTCCTGCAGTCAGTTTTGTTGCGTTCAGACTTACAGAGAGCTGCTCCGCCTGTCGGACGGAGTCGGGTTCAGAGTTCACATCATCGACAAAGCTTCCCTGGCTGCCAAGAAATATGGACCACAATCAAACAAGAAATACGGTGAGAGAAAGCAAATGTTTTTATAAATAAAAATAAAACAGGGAGTTCATTTTCCCCCTCATCGTTTGAATCCCYTGTTTCTCTTCAGACATCCTCGTCAGCACTCCGAACAGACTGATCTACCTTCTGAAGCAGGATCCTCCTGCTGTTGACCTCAGCAGGTAGCATTTTATTTGTTCTCTGCACGAGTTTTTATTTTATTTTATTATTATTCTTTTATTATTTTCGGTTCTTTATTCACCTGACTGTTTTGTTGTGTTCCAGTGTGGAGTGGTTGGTTGTGGATGAGGCAGATAAGCTGTTTGAAGATGGTAAGACTGGATTCAGGGAGCAGCTGGCCACAGTTTTTCTCGCCTGCTCTGGTGCAAAGGTGCGCAGGGCTTTCTACAGCGCCACGTGCACGCCGGTGGTAGAGCAGTGGTGCCGGCTGAACCTCGACAACCTGGTTTCTGTCAACATTGGACACCGGTAATGCAATAATTATTAATGGCAACAATTATCTCTCCTGTGGATTTATTTAGTGGTTTTTGCCCCACTTTGTTCTGTTCAGAAATACAGCCGTGGATACGGTGGAGCAGGAGCTGCTGTTTGTCGGGACAGAGAACGGCAAGCTGGTGGCCATGAGGGACATCATCAAAAAAGTAAGAACGCTTCAAAGAGCTGTSGTTTTTACGCTTTTTCAGATCGACTGAAGGGATGTTCTTGTTGCTGCGTTTCAGGGTTTCCTCCCTCCCATGCTAGTGTTCGTTCAGTCCAAAGAGCGAGCACGAGAGCTCTTCCACGAGTTGGTGTATGAAGGTATCAACGTGGACGTGATCCACGCCGAGCGCACACAGCAGCAGGTACGCTTCAACAGCAGAAAGTTTAAGTTTGACTCGAGGAAGCTGTCTGAAGGTTTCTGCCTCGGCTCTTCTGTTTCAGAGGGAAAATGTGGTGAACAGCTTTCGCTCCGGTAAGATTTGGGTGCTGATCTGCACGGCTCTGCTCGCCAGAGGAATCGATTTTAAAGGAGTGAACCTCGTCCTGAACTACGACTTCCCCACCAGCGCTGTGGAGTACATCCACAGAATCGGTTAGTTTGAATGGCAGCAATGGAAAAACAGCAATTTATTGTTAGAATAATAACGTTACAAAACTAAATACTTTATGATCTAAACATTTTAACCCATTTTAAAGCTTTTATGTTAGTCAACCAATTGTTTAAATACTAAATGATACCACAGACATTTGTTCTCTTTTTGTGCCCATTAGTTTCTTCATGTCTCTGTTTCAGGTCGAACTGGCAGAGCAGGGCATCGGGGGAAGGCCATCACCTTCTTCACAGAGAACGACAAACCGTTGTTACGCAGGTGAAACTTTATAAAGAAACTTAGTGTGTGTTTAATTATTAAAGTTTATTTCAAGTTTGAAATACAAAACTTAACCAGCAACAGTCATGGTGAAGCTACATAAATTTAGATTATTGCTCTCAACATCTTTTACCTTTGGAGTCTTTACAGGTATCATAAGCTGCTGAATACTTAAAGTGCTTAAATCTTATTTAATTAGATTTAATTTATGTTCTGGTATTTGTTTATTTGAGAGTGACAGGACACGTTAATAGTTGTCAATGCATTAAAGAAATGTTTGTTTTATTCTTTTTTTCTGAAATGTGTTTTTGTGCATCTCATCCCAACAGCATTGCTAATGTAATAAAACAAGCTGGCTGTCCTGTACCAGACTACATGATAGGTTTCAAGAAAATACACAGGTAATAGATACAGATGACGATGCTTAACACACTCAAATAAATGTTTTGTTTATTTATTTTCGAGTTACCCCTCATTATTTTTAAGCTTTGGTCATGATTGTCTTGTTTATGACATTTCTCTTTAGTAAAGTAAAACGGAGGCTTGAGAAAAAACCTCCCAAGAGAAACACCATCTGCACAACTCCTCGCTTCCTAATGAAGAAAAAAGGCAAAGCTCAGAAAACGGAGCAAAAGCAAACAGCAGGAACTGAACCCCCAACTGCAGAACAACAGCAAGAAGAGGTGAAGAAGACAAAAGGAGGCGGGAAAAGAGATGCATCGAAAGGAAGAGGAAAAGAAAAACGTAAAAACACAGCTCAGAAGATGGGATCGAATTCATCGGGAGTGAAGTTAAAAAAGTAATAAAGGTGGTCTTTGTGTGCATTTAATGGATTACAGGAATATGTGAAATGCTGTAATGAAGTAAAATAACCATAATATTATGATTGTGTCTTTAACAGGAAGAAGGGCCTGAATGTTTCATCAAAGACGGTCTGAGGAACAACTGCTGATAAGCAGATTAATGAGGACTTTGACTTTTCCATCAGTATATTAGTTTTCACATTTGTGCATTGTATTATCTGAATAAAAAAATCAATAAAAGTTTATATACCATTTTTGGTTGGTTATTTCACTTTCTATGATAAATCTGAGTTATTAACCGGGCATAAACTCCTAGTAAAACAAGACTGCAGTTTGAGAGCAAAATGCCCTTTTTGGATGTTAAACTARGGAGTCTAGTATTGTGCTTATTCATTATTAGCTTTTCATGTTAAAAGCATTTTAAAATGTTTTGACAAAACCACTAAATGGACAGGAGTTGGAAGAAATTAAAATGAAGGAAATAACTTACCTTTAACTTCTAAAATACTGTTAGGCCTATTTTTTTTTTTTATCCTAAAGACAAAGTGACATTTGTGTGATTTACTTAAAGACTTCCAAAGGTTTATCCATTAAAAGATATAACTCAAAACTTTTAAAGACATCTCAGATATTGTTTTCTCTATTACAGCAAATAGTTTACATAATACAGCTGCTATATTTGTTATATATAACCACAGGTTTATATATAAAGGCCTTTATTTCTGTGTATAAAGCTGCATTCAGACACGCACTCTGAGCACTGGTGTAATATCGCGATAGTGTCGTGAAGTCTCGCCCCTGCATTATCTGCCGGAAACCCCCTTCCGCTCTTCCTTTCTCAACATGGCACCGAAGGCGAAGAAGGAAGGTTTGTGAATCTCCTAAATCTGAATGAATAATCTTCACATTTCGTCGTCTTGTCCCCTTTATTAATGACCAGATTATTTCGATTCAAAAAATACGAACCCTCAGTGTTGTAAAACAACTGCTTACAAGTTTTTAAATAAGCATTTACGGTAGAAAGCGTGTCTACTGTCCTGGGTTGACCAGATGCTAGCAAATGTAGCATCTAGTGCTAATGTTGCCGACAAAACGTGGTATACACAGCAGTGTTTTCTGCTATTATGTTGTTACTCCGTTTTTGTAAAATACTTGGCTAGTTATTTTTTTAAGTATTTGTTGACACCTTTATAGTTTATTCTTACAACCAGTTCGTCATGACTTAGCAGTTTGACTTCAGGTTGTAATGGTGCATCGTAGGTAGTAATACAGGTGTGTTGTTGCTTGAGAGCCGTACATAATCCGAAATGTAAAGCATGGTCATATTTACGATGATAGAAGATAAGTGTGGTAATTTTAATGAAATTTTGATGTCATGGTTCATTGTTGAATTAAAGCGAGCTAGATTGCCCAGTACTTTAGATTGTAGGTAACTTTACGTGGTACAATTTAGGTTAAAACAAGAAACAAAGTGTTTAAAGTTCAAAGGTACCATTGTGTGAACATTTACACATTTTTATTTGTTGATGTAAAACACTAGAGCATATTAAAGATGGTTGGAGGATGGTGTATTTGCTTTACAATTGTGTAGTGTGCATCTAAAAAGTTGTTTTCTTATTCTCAGCTGTCCCTGCCAAGACTGAGGCCAAGTCAAAGGCCCTGAAGGCCAAAAAGGCTGTTCTWAAAGGTGTGCACAACCAAAGGAAGAAGAAGATCAGGACCTCTCCTACCTTCCGTCGCCCTAAAACCCTTCGTCTTCGCAGACAGCCCAAGTATCCACGCAAGAGTGCTCCCCGCAGGAACAAGTGAGTGTTGACTGATCATGTTACAAATGAAATATTGAACACCGTGCACATGATGGTAAAAATATAGCGATCAAAGTATGACACTTCCTGATTCCAGATTATGAACTGATGCACTGTTAAGTTTTTGGGGTACAATGCAGTCTATTTTTTTTCGAGACTTCATAAACATTTTTGTATAATTTTTGTTTTCAGGCTGGATCATTATGCCATCATCAAGTTCCCTCTAACCACAGAGTCTGCTATGAAAAAAATTGAAGACAATAACACACTTGTGTTTATTGTGGACATCAAGGCCAACAAACATCAGATCAAACACGCCGTCAAGAAGCTGTATGACATTGACGTCGCCAAAGTCAACACACTCATTAGGTAAGACGTCCTGGTCTTAATACAGGGCAACATCAGACATATTTTGGGAAAATTGCTGATTTATGTAGTGTGCTGGATGGAGATCATAAAGCTTAATTAAGTCTGGATTTCATCATGAGTTGGTGTAACAACAAAACTTCTGTTTACCATGTCATTTAACACTACTGCCCAAAATAGGTAAATTCCCAAAATGAAATTATAGTGCATGAGCCAAACAACAGATTGCATCATCAGGTTTTAACATCAGGTCATGTTGTAGGACACTTTGGGTTTAAGAGAGTAAGCAAGGCAAGCATAATTATCTTTGGTGGCCCGTCTTGTTTTTTGAACAGATTTTATCTTGTACATTTATTGTAATGTTTTGTCGGGGAGTAAAACTCTTTACAGAATGTTTAATTTTCATGTGAAGAAATACTTTTACTCACTTTACTTCCTCTGTCAGGCCTGACGGTGAAAAGAAGGCGTACGTTCGTCTTGCACCGGATTATGATGCATTGGATGTTGCAAACAAGGTAAGTTTTGTCATGGGTTAATGTATGGTTTTAGTTGTTTTTTCACTTTTGTGCACATGATGTAAACTTTTTTTATTTATCTGATTGCCTGTGATGCTTTCAAAGGAACCACTGATGCCAAATGATATAGAAGTAGATGTGTTCACACTTCGAGTGAGCTTCATGTAATTCGTGTACTTTTTATTTTTCGTTTCACAGATTGGCATCATCTAAACTGGCTGAATTGTAGAAAAATAAATATTTGTAAAAACTTAATCTGTCTCCTTGTGTGTTTTAAAAATTCTGTCAAACATTACAGTTTCTATTTAAGCTTTGTCCACACCTGACTGTAAAAMGACTGGGCTATATAAGATGTGAACGTATCCTAATGTGGTCAAAGTCTAGTGTTTGAACTCGATATTTTCAGAATTTACACTTGCAGAATGAGCAGGTGCTGTATGACTTTCCTAAGGTCAAGTTATAATTTGTGTTGCACAGGTATACCACTTACAGTTTAAGAAAAAACCCATTATAACGTACTGTTTATTGATCATGTAGATATAGCTAACAATTAGAATGCAAATTAAGCTATTAAACATTTTTAAAAAAGCAACGTTACCAATTTAGCTCAACATTTCTGCACGATTGTGACAAGTATTGCATTTAAGGAAACAACAGATGTGATATTATTGCACTGATTATAAACTATTTCCCCCTATTCAATAAATTAACAGGATACAAATGTTTAATATGAAAACTTTCTACAAGAATTAGCATAAACTGGTCACATTTAATCACATGGGTGCAACACCAGCTGATTAGGAGAGGAAGGTTCGGACAGTGCCTTTAACCAGGCCTCTGCAGATTGGGCACTTTCGAAGAGACGGCGCACACTCTTTGCACACCACAAGGTGTCCGCAGGGGATGAAGACGATGTTGACCTCTTTGTCCATACACACCTTGCAGGTACGCTCCTCCTGCAGGCGCCGCAGCTGCTCCTCCATTGGCAGATCTGCAGTGGGGGAAGGAAAGATTTTGTCAAATTGATTTTTTTTAAAGTTATTAAATACAAACGTTTATCCTTCTGAGCTTCAATTGTGTTTTCATACCTGAAAGATCTTGGCTCGGTGAGGAGGCTTCATTTGACTGAGCTGAGGGTAAAAAGGCCAAGCTTTAAAATAATAATCTAAATAAAAGCATAATGTAGCCAAGACTAACAAAACATTTTGTTCAACACAACAATAAAATACGTTTCCTAACTAACGAGTCTGACCAGACAGCTGTGAAAGACATACCCATGAGGTCTCTGAGGAGATGGACGTCATTTTTCTGGATCCAGTTGCGGAACACCTCAGCAGCAGCATTTCCTTTAGTGAGAACGAGCTCTATCAGCCTGGCGGTTTGCTGTTGGGCTGATGTCTGAGCCTGGAGGCCGCTGTACTCCTCTGCAGCTGCAGGTTGAAAGGAAAGAAATTATTTCACTTGAACACACGTTTGGCTATATTTTTTCTGTTGTACTAAAAATAAAAGAGGCATACACAAAACATTCTGCTCTCTTAGATGCTCCAGCACGGGTTCGACGCTCTTCAGGCGCTGGACCAAAGCTGCTTGGTGTCTCTTTACAAACGTGAAACCATCTGGAACAAGGGAGACTAAATTAATTAATGTTCAACTTAATATAAATAAATAAACATAATATTGTGACAGTAGTACCTGATGCCATGGCCTCAGCCAGCATCTCCTTCTCCTCCTCCCTCTTCTGGTCTTCGGCGCTCAGCAGGTCTGAAACCAGCTCCTGGACCGTCCTGTAGTTTTCTCCACTTGTTAGGATCTTGCTCTGGACTGTTTGCTTCACCAGGCTGCGCTCGAATCCCATCTCTAAAGCAGATTTAATGACAGGGGTGTTCATCATGACAGCATCTTCAGACCGCTCCTCCCCTGGACCCAAGTGGACCACTGAAAATTGCAGCATGTCAGTATTTTTACAGATAACTGAATCTTTGTGTTGGTTAATAAACAGAATTGTTTACAACTCACCAGGAGGATCCATAAATTCTCTGGAGTTGTCTCCATTTGTTAAAAGCTTTTTAAGAAAAAGAACAAAAACTTTATTTTGCCAGCCAAATAACTGGAGGAAAATAAAAATGTTGCTTTTTAATAACCTGTTCAAACAGCCGTGGAAATCGAGCTTGGATCTGATGAACAAACTCTTGTCCTTTTTCTTGAAGCAAATATTCACACCTGTGATAAACCAAAGAGTCATTATTAAAAGACCAATTTTAGAGATTTATTAACAAGAAGTGTAAAAAAAATACTTTTTCTCATCACATGATCTACTTAAATTAGAAGGGAAGCATTTACCGAGGAAACCATTTAGCATGTTCCACCCAGGGATCGTCTCCAGACTCCCAGCACCGCAGGCCTCCATCACAACAGAAACACTTGACGTCATCGTTTCTCCCTTTGGAGGGAAGAAAGAAAAAACTTTCAGTTTAACAGGGAGTTTAGGGGATTTTTAAGGGTGTTATTGATCTATGATGGAACTGTACAGTCATGTTTTGATTTACTGTAAGAAAATTTTTTACGTATGATTAGTCTTTCATAAAAAAATGTGACTGTATGGAATTTCCACAGCAAATGAAACTCAAATATAGAAACTGAAAAAAATACCTGTTTTGACAAGAACTCCCCCTAGACTCAGATCTAATGACATTTAAAGTTGTTTTTATTGAAAATCTAAAAAAAAAAAAACTACCAACAATCGCTATTTAAACTACCAACAATCGCTATTTTTCACTAAAGGGAAGTATGGTTTGTTTTTAACATTCTCATCCTCTTCTCTCTGGACTTTGAAAACCACTTATATTGATTTGATTGTATGGATGAATGAATGTTTTATGTGTAAAGCACACTGGTTCTGTTTATCTATAAGCATTTCATATTTATGAACCAGATATTTTACAAATGAATAAAACTCATTGTTTGATTTAAAAAGCTATAAACATACCCCAACATATAACATACTTAATATGTGTTGACAAATAAAGCCACAGTGAGACAACAGAAGCCTCGATGATTTCGACCGTACCGACATAGTAGAAGCCGGCTTTAGCCAGCTGCTCAGGCCGCACAGGAATACGAGACGGCCAGTTGACAAAGGTGAGCAGCCGCTCCTCGCTCTGCTGCATGGATGGGTTGGACACGTTGGTGAGGGTAGGAGCCCCGGCAGACATTTGGGACGTTCCTCCTAACGCTGCGGTTGCGGCGGCGGCGGCCAGCGACACGTTGTCAGCCCTGTCTCCYCGGACAAATCGACAGTTTGGATAATGTCTTTGGTGCTCGGATACAGCTCTGTCACCCGGCTCCCAGTTATTCAGCTGAGAAGGAAAACAAAAACATGCTTTGTGCCGTTTAAACATCCAGAAACACACATCACTTGAAGAGTAGACGACCCTCTTGTTCTAGTTTGTGTAAAAAAAACATACCTGCCCACCGCAGCTGAAGCAAGCCACTCTGTCCCCTTGTCCCAGGTAGTAGAAACCTGCCTTGGCGAGCTCTGCGGGGGTGATTATTGAGAGTGACCAGGACTGAAAGGATTCCAGGCGATCCTGCTCCCTACGCATGGTGGGGTTATGGCACGTCGGTCTCTGGTGGGACATGTCCTCCACACCGCGAGAAGTCAGCGGGCTGGAAGGAGGCGGAGCTGAGAAAGCTGTGTTTAGGAAACCAACCGTTTCTTCACCTTGACCTGACTGGTTAGGAGCAGCTGGGCCAGGACCAGAAAGCTACAGAAGACAGAAACATATGATTAGATCAAATTGTAGAAAACAAAGACGACTTTTGTCTACAAAAGTGTTGTATTTGATAAACGTTTATTTTTAATCTTACTGGAATAGCTGGGGCGATGCGGAGTGGTGAGAAGGCTGAATGAGAGGAGGAGAGCAGGTTGGTGGTGGATGGGAGGCTCTGGATGAAGGAGCAAGAAGGAGAGAGCTGCCTGTGCCTCTCTATTGGACAGTCTCCAGTCTGCCAGCCCTCGGCCGTCACGTTGCACCGGAAACACTGAACGCGGTCGCCCGTACCGGTGTAGTACCAACCCGCCCTCGCCAGGCTCCGCTCTGTGACCGGGGACGCCGGGAAACAAGCAAAGGTGGAAAGTCGGAAGAGCTCTGGAGAATAAAAACAACAGCATTTTGTCACATATCAAACGATTAAATGTAAGCAAATGAACAAATACATGGATAAAAAAAGAGAAAACTACCTGAGGAGTTGTCATATTGTAGGTCAGGCGGGGGCCCGTTGCGACACAAGCCCATCAAAAATGGGCTTTTTTTTAATTGAAGAAGAGTTTCCATTAATGGATTTGATTGTAAGAGGAAAAAAGAGATGTCCATTATAGGGAGAGGGGTTTGAGAAAACCCAAGGTCTTGTTCTCAATCAAACACACACACACACACACACACACTCTCAGTCAAAATGAAATGGAGTCCGTAGACAGACACTGGTGGACTTAAAAGAAAAAAAGAAAATGAGATTTACATGAGAAACTCAAGTGCTCCTAAGAAAAGACAACTACCAGCCCAGCAACTGTCATTACACAGCACTGCAAACACCTTTTATTTGTCCTCAAACCTCACATTCTCTGAATATCAACTTGCTCCTATCGCCTGTACCAAGCAGTGAGTTCAAACACAGAACTGCAGAAACTCCAGCATCGTCTTTCCAGTAACAGTGTATGAGAATATACGTCTAACTAAACACTGTGCCATAAAAAGGATGATCTATTTAAATCCTGGGATTAAAAGAACACCCTGATTGTATTTATTGTGAGACGGTCAGAGTCAGATCATCCAGGATCAGTGTACACTTTGTCTTCTACTTTTACTGACTTCCAATCTAACAATTTAAACTTTGACATTTGGTTGGTGAGTCTGTATATAAAAGTAAAAACAAAACAAAAAATAAACCCAAACACACACACATATACACAAAGACCCGGGAATGTGTGCTCTCAAACCCCTCCCCCCATCCTGGACATCTCTTTTGTGGGTGTCTAAGCTTCCATAATTGAATAGTAACAACCCTCTTAAAATGTTTTAATCCTTTAGGGGGAAGATGAAACGCGCCTCCTCAGATTTATTGTTGGCAAAACCTGTTGAAAAAGAAAAAAAATGAAATGAAGAAAATGCCTTTTTTTAAACAAAGTTTCAGTTTCACTATTTAGACACTTATAAGCTTTAAACATTTATTGTAACTCTTCAAAGATTTGTCAAGTAAACGTAAGTAAATGTTGCATCAGTGTGTTTTGTGTAACCTGAACCTAAAGCAAGAAAGCCCTTCAGATTTTTTTTATTAACTAGAACTGAATTATGATTAACTGTAGAAAACATCCCATTTAACCAATAAATATTAAAATAAGCACTTCAAGCCTATTTACTAACAAAKCTTAAATCCTAATAATGCAGTTTTAGTTGTGATAACTTTAAAATGAGTAACTCGGTCAATTTCATCAAGAGCAATATTATCTATAACTAATGTAATCAGCGACAGGTGTGGTTTTTTCATCTGACTGTCTTTTAAAATATTCTGTTTAGAAGAAGTTACAGCCCAATGTGTGCGGGTTAATATAACGTTCATGTAAAGTATATTTCACAGAAAATAATGCAGAACAAACGCATAACTTAGTATCGTTAACATTATTTTCCCTTGCTGAAAGGGTACTTTCCACTTCTACATCAGACAGAACAGACTCCTTTGTCCGCTTTGTTCTACTTTAGCAAACATTTACCGGAATCATGGTGTTTGATAATTAAAGTTATGACAATTTACATTTGGAACAAAACAGTATTTCTTATTTAATAATGAACTAAAGTGTAATGACGTTTAAGAAAAGAAAAATCTACGCCCAAATTATTTGTTTTGCCTAGCGGCCATTAGCCTAGCCTAGCATGCTAACAGTTGTTTAGCCATGAATGCTAATATTTATTAACTCCACGCTCCGGCACAACAGTTTGTTTCAGTATAAATTAAAACTAAACCGGGTGTGATAAACGACATGAAATAGTAGCTAAAAAAACACACTAAAAATTGCACGGCCAATTCAGATTAACTCACCACCTATCTATGTTCGTTCTCGGAAAGCCCCGAAGATTCTCGCCGACTACAGAGCTTTCAAGTGACGTCACTTCCGCTCCTACTTCCGTTTTTATTGAAATCAATGAAATGAAAGTAGAAATCTAAAAAATATTCAATGAATGCTATCATTCTGTCCCTGCGGTTTTTTAAAATTTGATGAACATTTAGAAGCAAGTGTTTCAGTTTAACATATGAAAAATAACAGCTGTAAAAGTTCTTACTCTTTTATTACAGTGATTATATCTAAAAGTTTGACCTTTATTTACGGGGTCAAACAGATTTTACTAACCTAAAAGAAGCTGTTAATCACAGGTTATTTTAAAGAGAACTTTTTAGTCACTACAAATACTAATATCAAAAGTTACAAAAGCTCATCATTAAAAGTGGTGGCACAATTTAAGGAGAATAACAATAGTAAAACATTTTTAATAATACCACATGGAACATGTATGATGTGTGGGAAGTGTTATTGCAAAATAAACCTGCAAAATATAAAAACTATTACTTCTGGCTGTTTAAATGACAAGATAAAGATTATCAACAGAACAAGGTACTTACACACAGGCGAAGCTGAAGGCCGGAAAGAGCCTGTGGGAACCTCTCGCTGAGCAGTACTTTGTATTCAGTGGCATTTCCCTACATCAGCCACTCCTCCAGATGAGTCATGATCATCTCCGTCATACCAGTTCCATGACCTTACTCACTGCAGGTGACTTCCACCACAGCAGCAGTCATGGTGTTTTCCAGTTCATTTAGTCAAATTTGCAGATCTGTTTTAAAGGTAGGTTGGGCAACATAAAATCTATATTACATATAGTTTAATCAAGTAATGTAATTTTAAAACAGTAAAAACATCAAATATAAGAGTATATAATGTGGGGCATAGATTTGGAAAAAAAAACTAGACGTAACGTAGCCAATATTAACTCTAAAAAAGATTTGAGAAATCAGACGACAATTAGGTTAGTTCCTTCAATAATCTTTTTATGAGACTGTCCACAAAGTCACATGACAGGAAGTCAGGAGTTTTCCAAACTGCTTATCTGATGATACACATCTGCTAGTAACATGATGGACACACCAGGTGTTGCATCACTTCATTACCTTGCTGTGGGTTAGCACAGAGGTGGCAGCATCATGCTGTCAGGAGGGATTCCCCCCCCCCCCTCAAACTAAAACTGAATCAAATTAATCTTTGCTGTGGTTTAAAAAAAAAAAACTGCAGAACAAATACTAACAAACGGGAGAGAAGTCAAAGAGGAAATAATGTCATGCATGTAGAATAAAATACAAACGACTTTTAGACTGAATCATCAGAGCGATACAACTGGAGTGGATATCATTTTCAATACATTGATGACGTGTTTGGGGGTGTGGCCTGTTTTCATTACTACATACACATGATGGATTAGTTAAATATTAATTTTAGTCATGATAACTAGAAACAGGAAGATGTTAAGCGCACAAAATTTGAACGGTATACATGTGGAGGGACGTGTAACAATCCAGCTCTGTCAAAACAGCCCTAACCTGGAAAAAGATCAACATTTTTGAATATGAATATTATTATTAGTCATAACTCAAGTGCTAGTCCCACCAAATTTGAACTCAGTAAACTACATGTTCACAATTCTTTTTTTAATTTGAGACTTTGTACTATTTTAAACTATAAATAGACTCAAATTATATTTTCAAGTTCAGAATAATGTTATTACATTACTTCATGTTTTAACTTGCCCCACAAGGCAAGTCTACTTGACCAATCACGCTTTTGCCAAACTCCGCCCACACAAGAACCTCTGCCTGCCTCCGCCCCCGCCTATTCCAAACCCCGCCCACAGATAATAAACATCCCCTTTTTGTAGTGCAGAGATCCCTTGTAAAATTTGGCCAGTGAGGCTTTATTATTTGAAATAACCTACAATCCCCTTCTGTTCTTCTGTGAATGAACATTTGGCACAGAGTACCAGCGCTGTGCTTAGATATGTTCATCTTATTTACAGGTAATCTTTGCAAAAAAGGCAGTATTTATTCAGTATTTATTAACCAGTATTTTCTATTTTTTTTTATAAAAAAAGAAAAATAAAACAGCACAAAACCAAACCAGTGCGTGTACTCCGGTGTATTTAAAAGTTTATTAAACAGAAACTCCTTTAAAACGATTACATTGAAATTTATATAATTCATGCATAAACAGGTAAAAAAAAAAGTCTGATAGCTTCAAAACTCATCTGTAAATAGAACAATACATGTCAATATATGAAACAAACAGTATAAAGCAAGTGTCATGCATTCTAGGATGAGTAATAAGCTGAATTGTTTGGCACTTGAGGAAACTTGGCTCTTTATGTGAGGATGATGTATAGGTGTAAAACTGTCATATTGCTCCATATACAATATAGAAATCAAGGTGGGTTAGGAGAAATGCTCACCAGAAATTCATAGCTTAAGATTCAAATAAAAAAAAATACACTGCAGAGAAAATAAACAGATTAAAAAGATTATATACTTTGTACGTGCTCAACTCCCCATCTGCATCTGCTCCTGGTAGTGTCTGAAGTTTAAAAAATAAAGTAAAAAAAATACAATATCTGCAATTAGTTGCTTTTGTGAGGAGTCACATCAGACTCCATGTTTTCCACCTTTCCACTGATGAAGCTTAAAGTTTAACAGAACTAACGAGGAATATTTGTCAATAAAGGCTGCTGAAATCTCTGTTTTATTACTGTTCTAGGCATCACAAGTGCCCCAAAAAAGTAAAACATTTTTTTGATTTTGGAAGAACCTTAACCCATTGCATTGTAACCATAATGTGATATTATGAAAGTCTGCACATTCTAATCACATAATAGCAATACTAAAATAAATCATTGTCGTCATTTTATTACTATTTTAATAAAATCACCTTTAGAAGTGTAACACCACTGAAAACTGCATTTATGTGGACTTGGTTACTTGGTTTTTATTATAAGACTTAATGCTGATTATTAAAATAAACAAAGATTTTTGGGGAGTTTGAAGATAAAAGTTTGTATGTTCAGGTCTCATTTTGTTCCAAAAAAGACTAAAATTTGTCATAAAAAAAGATGAGGCGTACTCGAGTTTCATCACTGCATAATTATGATGAAAAATAATTCAGGACTAAATTAATTTTAGAAATTAACTCAAAACAAAGACGCATCAAAATATTTGGATTTACCCAATGAACTCAAGGAAAACTGACAGAGACCATCAATAAACTAAAACTTGTCAGTATTTCTGAGTGGTTAATAAAGTCTCTCTAAAAAAATCATTAAGAATTTTAAAAACCAATACTAAACCATGAGATAAGGGAGTATACGAAAGAACTGTTTAAGTTTGAGGACGTACAAGTTTTAAATTTTGTAGGTTAAACCGTTCCCAGGCTCAGATGGCCACTAGAGGGCGTCGTTTCTTGAAAAACAGAACTGTGGTACGTTCCAAGACAACACCGTTAAATAGAAACCTACAATAAATACTGCCTCTGAGACGACCGCCRTCAACGCTGGAAGGCACCAAACTCCTAAAATAAAAAGCAATCCTAACAAAACCTATATCCGTTTTAAAAATAGCCAAGACATTTGAAACCACACGATCTTACAGCACGGTTATTGTATCTTTTTTTTTTTTTGAGCAGAGGTGAAGAATGATTTAAATTAAAACCAGATGAGTTTCCTGCATTTAGTTCATTATAGTGATCTTAAGTTCKTTTACTGAAGACTTCCTTTGTCTGCTGCTGTCGTCTTCTGTTTAAAGTTGAAAAAATTAAAGTGTGCTCATGTTAAAACTTCTTTGTATACATGTGAAGGCACTTAACTTTGATTTGTTGGCTCAGATAGAAATATTTTTAAATACTTTTTTGTTTGTTTGTGAGCTTTCTGAACTGACAGAAGCAACCTTTAGTTCTGTTTTTGCTCAGAACAAGGACGTTTCCTACTATTGTAGTGTTCAGCCCAAAAAATATTTGATTCTGTGCTCAATGTCACCATTATTGCTTTTGAGGAAAATAATTCCAATTACACCTGTGACCACTGCGTAACAAAATTCACAAGTTACTGATTTGTAGAGGTAGTAGAACGAGATGTTAATTATTCCTGCTGTTTTTATTCATTCTGATATTTCATTTTCATGTTATTTGAATGTTTTATTGAAAATTAACTTTTCTAGACAATGATTTTTAAAAAAGTTTGCTTGTTAAAAAAAAGTCTGTTTTTTTAAATGTGTCTGTGATCACAGACTGGTCAGGGAGTGGAAATACCACATGATTTTTTTCTTTTTTTTGTGAAACCAGATCCATAAAAATAAAAACACCAGCAGCTTACCACCTTCTGTGAGCCCCCACCCCCCGTTCCTCAAGGAGTGAGCAGTGTTAGATATCCACCATACAACAGCAGCGTATTCTGTTGTTCTGTACCACGTTTGAGTCCAGAATTCTCAGTCACAGTATGAAAACTCGATGTTTTGTGATTTTGTCGGGAGTTTGGGGCGGCAGTGGTAACTTGCGTCTATAGCCAGGTGAGGAGGCTGTCTCTGTCCATGTGCGGCCCGGAGAGAACGGTCTCCATGTCCATCAGGAGGTCCGAGTTCAAACCGTCGGGGATACAGGGCATCAGCTCCTCGCCTTCGGTTATCGGCAGCACGGGCATCTCCTGCATGGTGACCGACGGGGGCTCGCTGGAGTCTCCTGAACGAGTCAGAATCACAAAACAATCTGCTAATCTTTCAGGCACAAGAAATAAAGAAGCTAATGTAGAAAACTATCACGGTTACATTATAGGAAACACTGGAAAGAAGAAAAACAAAGAGAGAAATATATAAAAACCATAACTTTTGTTGATAAAATCATTTATTTCACATTTATTACCAGTGTCCATATGATCCACGGTGCTCAACATGTGGTCTGATGAGCGAGGGAGGCTGCTGACGCTCAGACCACTGTCGGTGCTCTCATTGCGAGAGTGAGCCCTGCGGACGAAAACAAACATTCCTTTGTTTTCAGAGAAACAAATGTTACTTRATGAATGATAAAAACGTCCATATTTCATGTATTAGACAACAAAGACATTTGAAATATGCTGCACCTGATAACTTCCAAAATTCAACAACATTTCATTATGCTCAAGGTCGAAACATTAAAGTGATGTTTCAGATGATTTAAAACTGGTTCTGCAAAGGTTAGTATCTTACCTGCTGTAGACAGCTGGTCGACCAGATTAAAATTCTATTTATCCAATCTGAGGCTATTCAAAGAGTCATCTACAACAGGTAAGATATTTATTACGTACAACTCCTAATTTAAATATCTGAAGTTGTTATGAGAACCAGTTCATGGAGAGATGTTTGTAACATTATAACTCACTGATACAACTCAATCTGCAACAAAACATAAACCATATGATATAGTCATCGCCACATTTTACAGARGGGTTTGTAAATATAAAGCAGTGTTTTATTTTCTTCTGAAAAAAAATACTCCTCATTTAAGTTAGTAATGCTTTGCCCTGACTTGTTTAAAGTTTAGTTGAGCAGAGGTCTACCTGCAGCTCTGTCTTAGTTTAGAGGAGTCTTTCATTGGATTTCTTTGAGACAGTATCAGCTCATCCAAACATTGGGCCTCATGCAAGAACCATTCGTACGCACAGATTTGTTCTTAAGTTGTGCGTACGAGTGATTTAGGAGAATTTGTGGCATTCACCAATGTTTTCTTATTCTAAGATTTTTTTCAGATACGAACAAAATTCACGAGTGGTCCAGACCTGTCGTATATTTTACCAGCAGTCAGTCTGCTGTTATCCAGAC